TAGTTAGTTATTACCTTATAGAAATTACAGACATTTTGCATTATATGTACAACATAGTAGAAGAGTTGACAAAGTATAATTTCCAAGGCATTCATACATATACCTAGGAGATACGTTAGCAGAATCTAGACAAATAAATTTTAAACTGAACAAAAATTTCTAATTATTAAGACTTCCATAAATGTTCTTTTCCATTTCCAAGTACATGTGATCATTCAAACTACCTGTTCCCATTGAGGAGAGAATAGAGGTTTAGTTAAGGTGAAGAGAGTTTATTCTGACTCATTTACCAAATATTCTTAATTTAAGCTTCTTAGGAAAAGTCCTAAAGTCAGATCAGAGGAAATGGAGAGTCAAATGGATCACACAAACTGCCAGTTTTCTTTTAAGTCAGTATTGATAACACAAGCTGACTGATGCTACTTCAATTAAAAAAAATTAAGTAGACATTGAAGAATTTATGCTCAAAGTATGCTTCAGTAATTAGTTCTATTTTATCCTGCAAGTCACCAGGAAAATTGTTCTGTGGCAGTACCATGTCATAACTTTATGGTTCATTAAAATACATTTAATGTGTAATAACACTTTGTCAATATTATTGATTTAAAACATAATCAATGCATTAACAGTATTAGGTTCTAAGAACAGAGAGATGCATGTCTGTTTATCTGTTCTGATTCAAGATGGAAAATTATGTGCCACTGTGGGAAGAACCACTTTAAGAAGGACTCTGACAAGCTGGAGCACATCCAGGAGAGAATAAACAAGGTGATGAAGAGTCTGGGGATTATGAAATATGGAAACAGTCTAAGAATAGCCACTGCTGACCTGGAAAATGTATCCATGGCTATCTTTCAGCACTGAACTCAACCACACGGGTGAGACAGTAGGTGGAATTCCTCAGTGGCCTAGTTTGTCATTCCTCTGGTCCTTCTACACCACTGCGCATGTGATTTTTCAAGACACAAATCCCAGGAGGCCACTACCTGTCATTACTCCCCTCTTAAACAAGTAGGCATGTAGCCAGTCTCCAGGCCAATGAAGAGGAGTTGAACATCTCAGAAGATATGACAGGACCCTCACCCCAATCAGATGGCTCTTTGAGCAGATGCCCTCAGAGGAATTAAAGGCTGTCCCCATCAATAATAATGACCCTGTGACAACAACTCACAGTCCTAACTAAAGATTCTAAAACATGCCATGTTCTCGCTCTCACTTCTGTGCCTCTTCTTCACCATGTTTCTCCTCCCTGGATGTGTTGTCTCACTAACTTCCCACCGTACTATAGGGCCTAGCTAAAGCCTTACCACATCCAAAATCTTTCCCTCAGGACCACCTTTCTTTTCTCTCCAGGTGAGTTGGGTATCCCTTTTCTATTAAAACACCACCTTGCATAAAAGTTTCATAGAAGGTATTGACTTGCTATGTCATTGGTTTACTTGACAGCAGAATCTATCTGCATGAGCTGATATGCATAGAGGGAGAAGGACTGTGAGGAGCAGGTTTTGTGCATCAAAGTTTAATGGCTGATATGGAAGAAAGTTGGGGATATCAAGAGAACCATTTAGTGGCTGGCCCTCAATCTGGGATGTGGTTCCAAAGCTAGGGAAAAAAGAAAGGGCTATAGACAAAATCTTTAGTAACTACAATACATGCAAAAAAATGGGTACACATGGGGCTGTTTAAAGGGCCAGACATCAAGCAATAACAAATAGTAGGGCCAGTGAGCATCCTTCTTGCTTTGGCACAAATCACCCAGCCTTGCTCATATCTGAAAAGATCACCAGTGCATGTATGACAGTGTTGGGAGTTATGTATGGTGTAGTACCAGTGGAAAGTTCCATTATACCCACAGGACCTTGGAGTGGGCGAGGAAGCCCCTACCCTGCAATGTTACTTTGCCATAACTAGAGGGAGAGAATTTAGGGGTGAGTGCTGGGAAAAGAGATGCCTCAATAATAAAATTCAAAATAGTCTTTTAAAAATTGGAGAGACTCCCAGAACTACTTCAAGAGTAGCTTTTGCAAGCAAGACTTTGATTACAAGGAGAAATGACCAAGCAACAAAGTATAAATTATCACTGTTAGTGCAATTCTATTTCTAATCATGGTCTGGAGGCCTGGTGAAATCTGGTTATATTTTTAACTCACTCCCATTCCTGTTCATTGGCTTTGACGTCCTTGAGAGCAAAGACTACTGATTTTCTTAAAATCTCTGTAGTCCCATTACCTATTACAGTAACCAACACAGAGTAGGTACTCAACATATGGTTATTGAATGAAGGAATAGAGCCAATAAAGGAAAGCTATCTTCAGTGTATAAATTCAGATCTAACAGGTAGAAGTTAGAAGAATGTAATTCAACATAAATATCCCTCTAACAACTAGAATTCCCTACCAGTGGCAGAGGCCCATCATGACACAATAAGAATCTTACCACTGGAGGATTTACAAAGGCTGTCCCAGGAGGTATACACTTCATGGAAAGAGATGGAGGAAATCATTTCCAACTTTCAAACTGACTAGTATTAGTTACATGGGGGAAAAAAAGAGACTGTTCATGACAAAGGAATAGCTGCATAGACAATAAGCAGAAATGATGAGTTAGCAACAAAACTGGTTTTGGAAAAAAGTCTTCAAGGACTGTCAATGGAAATCAGCAAGCTTCAAATGAGAAATTAAAAGAATTGAAATAGCACTCTGAAACATTGTTGCATGAAGCCAGCCACACTGCTTTTAGAAAGTTATCCTATTAAAACTCTGAATGATGTCTAAAGGACTTAGGTGTCTAACAGACATTCTCCACAGTGAAGATGGTAAGTGAAAGGTTGAAGGAAAGATTTACAATGTGTTGAGAGCAGGCTGTGATTTATAGACTCAGCCTGTTTCAATTTCTCTTCCATGGTCACTGGCAAAGTAAATGCTAGAGTCACTTGTCTTTATTCCTTTAACGTCCAATAAATGACTGAAGAATCCCACATCTACAAGAGGAAAATTACTAGACAATACAGGAAAGGTCTCCTGCGACAAATGAACATTCTACATTAATTTAAAGGCCATAAATAGAAAGATGGAGAGGACTAGCTCATAATGTCAAAGTTCAAAGACACTTTTCAAATGTCTCTTTAAACAAAATCTGACCTTTCTTTTTTTCCTTTATTATTAGAAAGTTTATCAAGGGTGGTTTGGCTTGGGTCATTTCATTGTGATAGCGAAGTTCTTTTAACATTAAAAATAAAACACCAGAAATATTTAATTCTGCAGAGATTGTGAGGACACAGCAGTACGGAAAGAGTATTGAAGCATTACAATTTCAAAGGTTATATTTTAATAACTCCATAAAGCTTCCCCTCCTACCTACAAATGAAAAAGAGAACTTATTTGAGATCACAAATAGCTAAAGGAATAAACAAGAATAAATTTTTCCTAATGTATTTCATATGAAATTTTTAGGAAAACTGCTGAGTATACCTCAACAATGTTCAAGTATCTTTGTTATCTATAGATTAACTGATGTTATAGATATGGATGCAGACACAAATATACTTACATGAAAGGTCTACAAAAGACCTCTTTTTAAAACTACTGTGAGGTATAATTTACAGTAAAAATTACTCTTTTTAGTTTATAGTTGTGCAAATGTTGAAGAGTGCAATTGTATAACCACCACCACAGGGAAGCTGTAGAACAGTTACATCGCAACTCAAAATTCCCCTGGACCCCTCTGTAGCAAGCCATTTCTCTATCTCTGGCTTCTAGCAGTTATTGATATGCTATCTGATTTTATAATTTTTACTTTCCCAGAATTCCTTACAAGTGGGATCATACAGCATGTAACAAAGGCCTCTTTTATACCTGAAGCTCTTAAAATGAAGTTAGTAAATAAAGTTTCCATTTTAATTCAATGATTTCTATTTCCTGGACTTAAAGGCAATAATCAAATTTTCCTTGAAATCACATCTTGAAACAGGCATATCTAGGGAGCATTTTGAATCTGTAAATCTTTTAGACTTCGCTTTTGATGACACAGGTCAAAATTTCTAAGTGTAAACACTAGAATTTAGTTTTTATAAGTTGACCAGGCTTGATACTAGTATCTGTCCAATTTGGGAAACATTAGCCCAACAGATATTCACTATGTCAGCTACCATATTATAAATTATATGTGGCAAGAGGTCCAAGTTTACAGGTTGGGAGAGTTTTATCTAGGTGATCTTGTCCTTAGACACAGCTACCACTTACTGGCTACATAGCTTTGAACAAGTCACCTAACCTTACTGAACCATGGATTTCCCCTTTGTCCACGGTTTATTGACATTTACTTCATAGGATTGTTGGGGCCATTCAGTGTATAGAACTTTAGAGAATAACAGCTAACACACAGACCCAATGAATAGAAGCTGCTTATCTTGCTGGCATTGATATCAGAAAAATCTTTGTTGTCATCAGTGCTTAACTTTCTTTCTCCATCTTTCTGCATTTTGGTCAATTTCACTATTTTTAGTCCTTCCTCTAGAAGTGACCAAGTAAAAAGAATCCATTTTTTTTGTAGTATCCAGCTATTACTTGGGGTTATGCAAAGCTAACAAAAGTTCACTCTCTCCAGCCCTCACTTTCACCTTGCCAATACCAATGAATGGGTACAAAAAGGAATTACTGGAAGCACTCATTCTTTCTCCCAAAAGGATTTTATTGGCCAAATACAAGCAAACACAAGGAAGGAAGAGAATCCTAGGGTAGAATAAAGCAGAAAATTATACTGTAGAATTAGGGCTATCTAAAAATGACTATTAGCAGTTTTAGATGTATATACACATATTTTTAAGCTATAGTTTTTATATAAGACATGAAATACAGATGAACAATGACATTTTTACTGCTTCTCTTTCTGGTAAAAATAAAAAATAACAGAATAACACCTATCCTCAAAGAATTATCTAACACTGCCAACACCAAGGATCAAGACCATTTAAAGACAAATCTGAAATTTACAAGTCTTACCTGTTCTCAGCATCAGCACTGCACTTTGGGGACATTAATTCAAAGGATTTGGTAAACTTCACCACCTGCCACACGGAAAGAACAACAAAATCCAAGTCAATTAAAGCTTTCTCGCAGTATGAAACAACACAATAAACATTTTTCATCTTTATAATGATTATTACAATAATTGGAGATTAAAAATAGATTTAAGAGGAGAAATCATGAGTGGTAGAAGAAAACTCTATGTTTTGTGTTTCACTTCTTTCATGGCATACAGTGCCAGTTGTAATATATTTTATGAAATAGGCACATATTTTTACAATGAGATATACTATCAGTCTGTGATGGTTAGGTAAAGGGTTATTTCATTTGAATAGAATTTTTTTACCAACTTTTAAAAAATCCAGTCATCATCCAAGGAGACAAAACACCCTTTCAAAATAGTAACACCTGGGCCTCCCTGGTGGCCCAAGAGTTAAAGTCTCGCTGCTTTCAAGCTATCACCAGCCACTGTGGCATGAGTTTGATCCTCTATCTCCTGCCTCACCCATGCTCCCCTCAGCAGTGTATTTCAGTAGATCTGCCTGTTCTACTCCCCACTCTGTCTCTGATGAATCCTCTCAACACCCTCCCCACCCCTTACCCTACACCTCTGGCCTATGCTTCAGTTCTTGTATGCATAAAAAAATAAAAATATAAACAACAAACAAAAGCAATAACACCCTTAATAAAGGATGCCTGTGTCAAACCCAGGCTTCTGAAGTTACCTCCCTGATAACTTATCACTTATCTTAGGTGGTGTTTTGCTGCCACCACCCAACGAGTAAAAATGAGGAACCCACCTTTTCTAAAGTCAGCCCTAGTGTGCACACCTTCTCTCTTACCATCAAATTAAACAAGCACACCCAAGGCAAGAGTCTGGTCAAGACATTACATTAAAAGGGAATTCACAGGCACAAAGAATGCACAGGTAGTTTTTCTTCTTGTTAATTACTACTGAGTTCTTACTAACCAGGCCCTATACCAGAAGCTTCTTTGGCAATTTGATGTCCTTACTCTAACTCTGTAAAGTAGGAATTTTTATCCTCAGTATATGAATAAAAAAGTTAACCCATCATTTTCAAGAAACTTCCTCAGTTTCATGAGTAAATGGGGCAACTGTGATTAGAGGTAGTCTGCCTGCTGGCTCTTCTGACAACATTAAGTATATTAAGTGGAAAATGCACCATTTCTGGACCTCTTTTGACAAAATTCACCATATGATAGAAAAATGAGTCTCTCATACTGTAAGGAGTCATCTGAATGTCACTGGCTGCTTCCAAGGGTGACATTTAGATTTGCCTTAGCCAGATTCAGTCATGCTTCAAAGACTTTTAAATTAAACACTTACAAGGAATTGATGGGTACCTTAGAAAATGATTTGGAAACTAGGAACAGATTAAATATTAAAACAGCTTTATCAGTGAGGCAATGAGCCCAAACTAAGAAAATGCAACATTAGGAAAAAGATAAAAGTAAAGCCTATCACAAAGAAAATTTTGTGTAACTAACTGAATGCATAAAAATGACAATAGCTCATCTGCAAGGAAATATCCTTGGCAACCACAGAACACACTACATTTCAAATGTGAGTTAAGTCTCAACAAAATCGCTCATTGCATGCAAATTCCAAAGAGTCACAACGATATCTCCTAACCTACACAGGATTATGCAGGATATAATGTCCTCTCCCAAGAAGTAAGATCTGTGTTCCCTCCCCTTGATCTAGGTGGGCTTCCAACTGCTTTGGCCAACTGAATATGTGGAAGAGAACAGAATATGTGTATTCTGAGGTTGTCATTAAAGGCAGCACAGCTTCTGTTTCATCTGGTGAGACACTTGTGCCTGGAGCCCTGGGCTGCCATGTAAGAAGTGCAAGTCTGGGGTCATTATGTTGAAAGGCAGCCAAGTCATGTTGGAAGGTCACCTGCAGATGGTATAGAAACTCTGCTTGGCACCCATACCAGGCAGATGAATGAATAAATCTTCAGATGATTCCAGTTCCCAGTCACTAAGTCACCCCTGATCTCCATGTTTTTCCAACTATGGCTCCAGATATCTTAGAAGGAGACAAGCAGTCCTTGCTGTACCCTGTCCAAATTCCTGTTCCATAGGATCTCTGAGTATAATAACATGGATAACTTAAGCCTCTAAATTTAGTTGTATTTATTACATAGCAAAAGGTAAATTGAAAACTTTAGTGAGAACTTAAACATATCTCAATCACTTAGAAACATTCACATAATGCCCTCAGGGCCTTTGCTGTCCCTCAAATGGCAAGATTTTATTCTTTTTCATGGTTGAATAGTATTCTATTATAGATTCAAGATTTTATTCTTTGTGTGGCTGGATAATATTCTATATTATATAGATATATGTGTATAGTCTATATTATATAGATATATGTATTAATGGATAAGTGAATAAAGAAAAATATATCATATATTCTTTATCCATTCATCCATTCATGGTTTTAAGTTGTTTCTCTTTGTTAGTAATTGTAATAATGCTACAGTGAGCATGGGGAGCATATATATCTTTTTGAGTTATTGTTTTCATCTTTTCAGATAAATGCACAGTAGTAGAATTGCTGGGTAATGTGGTAGTTAAGAGCTACCCACAAGCAAACCAGGTAAACTAGCTGTCTTCTGCTAAACTGTTAATTGCTAATAATAGATTGATGTATTGATGCTTCTATATCTTATATTTTGAAAAGCAAAACTCTAGGCAGGCATAGCTCAAACATATTTTTTTTTAAATTACCAAAAATATAATGATTTAAGTGGAAAACCTTTTTAGTCAGACACCTGAGTCAAAAAATGAAACAAGGTCTCTCTAGTGGCGCAGGGGTTAAAGTCTCAGTGCTATCAAGCTATCACCAGCTTGAGTTCCATCCCTGGCTAGGGAGCTACCCACATGGCACAGCAGACCTCTCATCTCGCCTGCTGTTCCCCTCAGCAGTGTAGTTCAGTAGATCTCCCTGCTCTTCTCCCCACTCTGTCTTTGGTGAATCCTCTCACTCCCTGCACCTCTGGCTACACCCCAGTTCTTGTGTGCATATAATGTGTGGACTTCTAGTGAGTCTGAGACCTGGGACACGATGGTGAGGGAAATCAGACATTGGGGACTGTCATGTCCAGCATGCAGTAAATCTTTATTGTCTTAGTGTTCATTATATACTATTTTAATTGCAGCAGGTGTAACATCAAAACATACCATATAATGATAACATGCATGAGTGATTAGTCTATTTTCTTACTATTATCTATTTACTTTAGACAGTAGGGTACCAGGTGGTTAGTTTTCACGCACGTAATCTTATTGCCACCTAGCCAGAGCCTGGGAAGTTCACTCATTATTTTTGTTGTTCTCAAACTGTGGAGATGTACGCAGGTCACTTCCAGGCTCTCAACACCAAGTCCTGTCACCCAGAGGTTTTCCTCCAAGATGCATGTGTTTGCACATGCCTTAGGGACTCGGATCAAGGCCCTTCTGCTCACTGAGCAGGGTCTCTCCATTTTGTTATTCTCAGACTGTGGAGATGTAGAAGCCTGACTCCATGCAGGTCACTTTCCAGGCTCTCAACACCAAGTCCTGTCACTCAGAGGTTTTCCTCTGAGACGCATGTGTTTTCACATGCCTTAGGGACTCGGGTCAAGGCCCTTCTGCTCACTATGCGGGGTGGCTGCCTCCAACAATAATGCATACAAATAAATCTTAAAAAAAAAAAGGATAGTGTTCACCTTTTGGTGCAGATGAGGGTGGTAAATATGAGAGTAGGCACAAAGAAAGCATCTGGTTTCCTAGATTTATTCTATAACTTCAATTTTGATGATGATAGTCACAAAATGTTTTGAACTGTACAATTAAAACTTAAGTATCTCTGGTTTCCCTGGTGGCCCAGGGGTTAAAGATACAGCACTATCAAGCTATCACCAGCCACTGCAACATGAGTTCAATTCCTGGGCAGGAAGCTAACCCACATGGCCCAGCAGACCTCTTCTGTCTTGCCCACTGCTACTCTCAGCAGTGTATTTCAGTACATCTGCCTCTTCTGCTCCCCATTCTGTCTCTGGTGAATCCTTTCACCCCCTGCACTGCTAACCTACACCCCAGTTCTTGTGTGCATAAATAAAACAAATCCTTAAAAAAATTAAATAGTGAAAATATTTTAATAGAATTTTATGAGATATACAGAGTATCACTATAGATATTATGACCAAGAATTAAAAAAACAGGTAAAAGCATAAATAAAAGACCATTAAAAAACATAAATAAAAATTCAAGCTTTATTCTTGAGTTGGGCCAACTATATGATTCTTAGTTTCATTAAATTTTTATTCATTCTCTAAATCAAATTCTGATTTTATTATAGATGTGCTAAATGAACACAGATTAAATAAGCAAATACACACATAAACATGTAAAAAGAGAATCTTTCAAGAGAATTATCAGAAGTGGTTTATAGGTGTATAAAATTGAGCAAGTGGTTCCCAGCTCTCATGGCTGTTGATCAGCCCTAGTTATTACACCCTGGGGAAGGCAGTACACATGCCAGACTGAAGTGAACAAAATATCCCCCAAGCATCTCTGCCTGTTATTTGGAAAAGTTCCATGAACAGAAGTCTTTTTGATTTGGATATTTTTCAAGCACAAGTTGGTCTGGTTTCTCTGTTTTTTTTTTTCTTTAATTTAAAAACAAAAAAACTATGTTCAAATAAATATTCCTGCCACCAAAAAGAAAATAGAAATGATTCACTAACTAATCACCAATTTTTCCCCAATGGAATTTTCTTAATCATTATTATTCCATAAAAGGATCAAAGAGCAACTTAAATGATTGTCCATTGCTATTCTTCTTGATAAATTTCTCACCTATGATGATGAATAATTTACTTTGATTATTTATTCACTCAATCAAAATTTATGGAATACATAGTGTACGTGATAATATATATCAGGTATTGGGTACAAATCATGTTCTGTCCTTGAGGAGCTCACAACATCATATGGAGAGGGGAGCAGTTCACAAATGTATAATTTC